CCTCAACATTACATACCCAGTTTCATGATATTTTAAAGAATAAACTAAAGATACCACACTTTTAAAGAATTTTTATGAATGAAGGTCTTTGCTAGAAACAGGACACATCTCCATTTATAACATAAATCTATGTTATATGTTTGTTGTATAATATAAAGTATTTGCAATTATTGAGAATACGTCACGTCAATTTCTCATTTGTAACACATTTTTTATCCAATAATAATTGAGATTATGTTATTGAGCAAACATGACAAATTATGATTACAAAATGACTTTTAATCCAATGCAACACCGATACAAACATGCCAAGACTAATGGACAATTCCTTGATATCAACATGCCAAAAATTCGGAAAATTATTATCGTAGTTGTCAAAAACGATTTTATTATAACGCACACATTATTCGAAGAATTTGTTAAATATTTCATGGCTATTAATAATTCTCATAATTTAATAAAATAATGATGTAGATTTTGCATAGCCCAAGGAACTGTTAAAACAAATTGAGTTATACGATAAATATACACATCAGTGAACTTAACCAGATTTAACCGGTACATTCAAACTAGAATTGGCTCCTCAACTAGACGAAAAATGCATATTTCCATACGGTAGTAGATGGAATGTACATCAGGTGCGGTTTAGAGTTGGCGTGAACTGACAATTTGCCAATAACCAACTCACTACGAGAGTAAAATAAGACAACCAGGACTTTACTGCGCTCGCTCGTTTCCTTAATACTCATAATTACCGACGCCGACGATGTTGTTGCTGTTAGGGTAAGGCAACATACGTAAATAGAAATTGTGGAAAAACAGAGTGATCAAATGTGAATGAATAGGTACTAAGTTGATTTGTAGCCAATCGTTAAAATTATAAATTACCGTTCGATAATTGGCTTGCGCTTTGAAACAAAATGCTATAACTATTTGCGTTTATTAATTGGATAATTCGGCATATTGAAAAGCTGTAAATAATAATTTTAGGAATACGATTGATCAGAATATTGATGACTAATTTGTTTTTGAAAATACATTAGAGTTCATTCAGGAAAGATAAATTTAACTAGAGTAAACAAAACCTGCATTGTTGGAAAATTTTAAACTTTCTCCGTAGTAGAAGTTAAAATACATCAACACGACCTATGGCAACATTATAGGTGTTGTGTTGGCAGGTTAGCAAAAAAAATTGAGAATGTTTTGAAATTTGTGCATTTAGAAACGAATGCATGTAGTTCCCGATATTTTTTGGATATGTGATCTAATTTTGGAATGATTTGATTCAAAACAAATATACAAAATGTATCTAAAGAACTTAGTTATCGAGAAAATACAGTACATGGAAAAGACGTAAAAAACACTTCAATAATAAAACAGATAATCGTGTAATGTGAAAATATACAAAAAATTCAAAGAAATGGTAGATAGGAAACAGATATTGCAAAAATTCAGGGTAGTATACTTGAGCCCAAATGTTAACGTAGTATTCGATAATATACTGAAGGACTCTTGTGAAAATGTTAAACCAAATGTTGATCTTTCACTCATATACAAAAACCAAAGCAAAATATGGGTAACCAAAGAAGTATGCTTTTAGACAATGCTTTTATCCCTGCAGTACGATGTTCTTTAAAAAACAAGAATCTTAACAAATGACTATTTGGCTTTAAGAGACGATCTGACACAAACACTTTTTTACCGCCTAATTGTATGTAATTGTGTATGTAATCCCATTTATGATGCACATGATATTAGACTAATTAAAAGACTAATTATGCTGGTGAATGCAGTTTTGCGAAAAGATGATGTCACTAAAACTTTAAAAGATATGAATTTAAAAAGACCTTATTTCGTTACTCAGGATTGGAATAATAAACCTCTCAGGTTTATTACAAGATATTGAAGAGTGGTTTGGGAAAGAACCGCACAGCGAATCAACGATGATTGAGGTTGAACTAATAAATGAAGCGATCAATACTGAATCAGAAATGATAATGTAGAAGAACTTGCCTCCACAAACTTCAATGAAATCCGAAGATGCTTTAAACGCAATCGATCTCAATATTCATTGGATTGAAGACAACCAAATATGGTGCTATATTGAGACCATATCGTTTAAAATTGGACAGTTTTTAAGATTTTGCGGAGATTTATATGATAACTTTCAATTAAAAATCATTTCTTATTAAAGTGCTGAGTTTGTGTTTTATGGCAAGTCGTTGGCAGTCAAGGCGCTACACCAAACCCATATCTTTATAAAACAATCTACAGATATTATAGTGACACTGAGATAATGAAGAGAAAATATACTTATTAAAATCTATTATTGTAAGAAACAGTTAAAAATTCACAAATTCCTTGAATAATTAAAGGGATTATTATTATTCCTTATTATTTCCTTATTTGTTCGTTGACAAATAACTAAATAAAATTATGATTTTTTTCTAACTATTTTCTTATAGCAAATCTGTTAATATATAAATATAAGACTAAAAATAAAATTATAGTAATTGCAAATCTAGAGATAAATGAATTTATGAGAAAATAATATAAACGTAAAAGGGATTTCACAAAAAGTGGCCTACGAAAGCGTGCTTCGTTATTTTCAGCTTATGACAATAAAGCAACTAGAAGGCGATTAAAGGACGAAGTGGGTATTTATAGGTTCACAAGTTAAACGAAATAAATACTCAATTTTATTCTCCATTTGTAAATTTTATGCTATTTTCTTTGCGTATGTTTTGCATTGATACAGAATGCTAAATGATCAAAGACAGCGCTCTGGATGAAATCACACATAGGTGTTAATTAGTTATGGTTCCAAGCTGGTGAAATATTGCTGCTATTCAAAAATTTTAAAGAGCAATTGTCCGTCAACTTTCAGTACGTTGAGAAAAACTACATGAGTAAAGAAAATTCTTAGCACTTGAACCATTAAAAAAGTTTAATACAAATACGATAAGCGCCGCGATCCAAAACACATCTTCGATCGTGGGTTTAATGGATGTGTAGCAATGGGTAGAAAAAAATCGGGCGTGCAACAAAGAATTCAAGTGAAGCACCCCAAACATCTTCTATCGTGCTCCCGGATTACTAATTCAAGTAAAACGACTTAATGCTGACGTTGTTATAATTTTCTATGATACATTATCAAACGCGATTAAAGAAACGGACCCAAATATATAATGTTGATGAAATCGACATTTATTAGCCATGCAATGCGCACTCGTACATTAACATCTGCCAACATTAAAAATTGCTCCTATATAAAATTAAAAAAATCGAATTATAATCTTCTTTTTTCTCTTCCCTAGAAAAACTAACACAAGCTATGGTAGGGAAGTCAAAGATATCTAGAGCTTTAAAGAACATAAAAAACTACCACTCGAATACTATAATTACCGTTTTGTATGGATGACGATAGATATTTTTGAAATATGATTTAAAAATAAATTAGTTAAATAAATTAAAAATATTTGGGCGGCAAAGATCTCTCTCAAAAACCAATATTGATTCTTGATAATGTTGTCAGCTGAGAACGGGAACATCACTATCTAGCATCTTCCTCCAAATCTTACCACCTTGATTCAACCCACGTATCAGGGAGTAATTGAAATAATGAAGGGGTTGTACAGAAAAAAAAATGATAGATCTGCATAGCAGTTGTAGCAACGCTGAAGCCGCGAGCCGACTCGAGTTAAGCAAGCAATATGATATATTATCTGCCTAAGTTTAATCAGGCAACCTAAGTTTGGGCGATGTCGCTTGCAGATAATATTATACAGTAACGGTATTAGCATACATTCTTTGACGAATCCAAGTAATGAAATTCTTAAATTTCTTGAATAATACAGAAGCCATATAACTTATTTTGCAAGGTGACTTAATTACAGTATGCTGAACAATTTTACTCTTTACATAACCTATGTGAAGAAGCTGACACATGGATACAATATTGGTAATGGAAGCAACTTCCAACAGATTTAACAGGTCCTGGCGCTATAAAGGAAACTATTTTTTCCCAGTAGCTAAGGCAATCACTACTTTCCGCTAACGATTTATTTCGTTGACTCATAACGACTGACTAATTGGATTTTTACTTTTTTGAAAACATCATTTATACTTTGTTTTCTATATTTCATCATTGCCCTCCTCATAATAGAGGCTAGAATATAGCTTACAATAGAGACTAACCCTAATAAACGTTAAATATCATCTTTAACAAATACCAGTGATAATGTGTTTGCGCATAATAATTTGTTTCTACTCATGAAATTTTGATTTCTTCTATGGTATTTTACTTTTCAGTGTTTCATGTTCACAGCTTTCCGTACTTGTAAGATGAGCTTACCGCGGTTTTCAAACATCTAGCCAATTTCAAATTACAGAAAATAGGTACTTTACAAAGTAATCGAATCAAAATTTAAAATTTATCTCAATGCATAAAGAATTTACAGTTAATTTTTAAAATTTCCATCACACAATAATTAAGCTATATAAAAATGACAAGATTCATATGATTTATTGTTATATTAAGATATTTATGAAATTATTATCGATTCGATACTGAAATAATTTAATTATTATTTTGAATTGAAACGATAACATAAAACGTATATTAAATAAGAAACACTCACCACTCTCGAAATAAGTGTTTATGATATTTTTTTTATTTATCTATTTATATCGTTGTTGATATGATAAAAACCCTAAGAAATTAAATCAGCAGAGTGTAAAACTTTATAATGCCAAGTTATCTAAGAGATAATTTTTGTTAAATTTTGTCAAAATGATATGAAAATTTATTAAATTCAAGTGGAATTTTAATGATGTTTTGAACCAAAATGCTATTTCGCGAAGTGAAACGTAAAAATAATTTAAAAGTATAATTTATGTTAAACTATTTCTGTCTGTTTAAAAAGAACGTCACGACCGACATTATTATTTTTTCAAGGTTTGTTCTATCATCAACATAAAATCTTAAAATTAATACTTACTGTGTTGATTTATCAACATCCTAATGGATATTCGGGACATGTAAAATCTATCTAAAAAGTATTGGATGCTGTGCTCGGTGTGTTGATCAACATCGTGGGAATCTTTTAATTCCAACACTCCCTGAGCCATCGTTTCAACAACATCAGCATGTCGATTTCGGATCTTCACCAAACTATCACAGAAGCGGTCCAAAGTTGAACTGTTTATTTCTGCCTGTTCAAACTCGATAATCTCTTGAAAACTTCTTATATACCAATCGTTCACCGCCACAACAGACGGCATTCTTATCAAGTGTTCGGGTAAAAGTGAAATTTCTTTCATTATGTTCGCCAATCTAACTGGTAATTCTTTTCGCAGGAATATAAATGATTTTTGTTCCGAAGCATTTAAACCTAAACAAATAAGAAAAAATAATTGTAATAAAACAAAAAATAATTAATTAAAAGTTTTTAATTCGCGTATATTCAGATAATAAAAGAGAATACCGCATTATTGTAGTTATACAAGTTTAACTAGTTATAACAATAATAACCCACTTCAATTTTTTTATTTTTTTTAAATAAAAGATATATAGATCTAGAATAATCGAAACTATTTTATTTACAGAGACGTTACGCAAATATTTAATTACACATGTCTCATTTGAACTTATTTTTTGTAAATCCGTTCTATTGAACTTTGTACTTAGAGATAACTTAAATGCTGCGTATACAAACAAAACAGGTAAAGATCTAATCAATGCCAGACATCGAGGTTAAACTTATTTTGTCTTTTTTACGTAATTTATAATCGAGAATTATGTTATTTATTTACAATCTCTGTTTTGAAAAAGTTGGTTGTTTTCTGCTGATAATGATTTAAGGTGATCGAGAATGGATCATTATCAATTTTAATTAGTATTATTGATCGAGTATTTAAGTAGTTACAGGGCTTAAATGTTTAATTTTAAAAGCGAACATTTGATATATAAACTATTTTGAATAATTAGAAAAATAGTGAAAAAGCTTTTTTTTATTGTTTCTAAATGATTTAGCATAAATGAGTCAAAAAGAAGATTAAAATAGACTGCAGAATAATGAATTAAAGTTTATTAGTGTTACTCAACTGAATTATTGACAATATAGAGTTATTGAAAAATAAGTTGTTGTTTATGAGAATATTAGTGGTTACAAAAATATGAAAAAATAAATACAATTCTAAAGTAATTCTAAGTAAACAACTTATCTTAGACAAAGTATTCCGAGTGTTTTGAATTGTCATGCTCCAATTAACGAGACAAGATTAGTGACCCTAACTTAGCTAGGATAACCAAATCGATAAACCAGATGCAGCCGTTGAGGAATAAAGCAGTTTGTTACTGACAGTTAAGTCAACTTGCTAAATTTTTATTGAAGTGAATACATTTGGCTCCTAGTTAAACGATCCTAATTAAAACCATTAAAAAATAGTGTATGAATGTTGTATTACACAAACCTTTTTGACACACATACCCGTAATATATTAAGAGCAAAATTGCAGCTCTCAATCATCTCGCTCACATACCATTTACTAAATAGAATAAGGCTTTGAGGGTTATGTGTTACAATTAGGAATTAAGGTGACATATTAGATGTATTTATCTGTAAATGGTCATATACGTGATCATCCCTATTTCTTTAATATTGCTAGTTTTAGAGGTGAAATAGAAAAAGTCTATAGCACTTTGTGTTGGATAAAATAAAATTTATTGACCATACATTCTGTTAGTATTAAATTTGAAGATAGATAGCCCGTCTTATTGAAACTCGAGTGTGTTTTATAGTTCTTTGTTTCCTTTTCTGCAAACATTTTAGGTTGTTTTTATATTCGTTTTTTTTGTATCCACGTCATATCGCCGACGGTTGAATTCATTAACGTTATATTTTATGCCAATAGTGGAAAGCTAACGAAACCTTAAATCAAGATATTTAATCTACATACGCTTTTAGCGCTCTATTTATACACATAATTCTGTTTTAACACGAATTTACCTATTCGTACGTATTCATTTTTTGCAGTGAAAAATTTTAGTTATAGAATAGTTATATAATCTTAGTTAAATCTCCAATAGTTTTCAGTTGTACTATAAACAGCAATGGAGAACCAACGAAGTACTAGAACTACATAGAGTTCATAGTATATTATAAAATTTGGAATTTGGAACTGTACGATTACTCTTGTGAGATTACAATAGAACGAATTTAAAGAAAGGTTGCTGTAATTTAGTATCTATTTTATTAATAACAATAATAAGAAAATTAGTAAGAATTTCTTGTTGTTTCATGGCATAGCAAAAACTATAACAATAACCACAACGAGGACCACACGTGCCGTCGTGTCTTTCCTGCAACCCTCCGGAGGCATTTCATTTGTCCTTTGTATTTGCGGTCCAGGTTTCACTGCCCTAGTCTTGTCTTGACCTTCCGGCTTACTTCATTCTTGTCAAACACACACCAACTCAGGGCATAGTAAGCCTTGGTGGCCTTGTTCACTCTGCTCCTAACCTCTTAAGTAAGCTTGCCCGTCTGGTGGATTGTCGTGCCAGATATTGATAGTTGCTGGCCTGGGTCAGAAATTAGCCATCACATTCGATGTGGATGTTATCCAACTGTTCGTCTGTTCTCCTTACTATCACAACTTGACTTTACCTTGTCCAACATCATGCCCACTCTTTCTGACTACTCCAGTACAGTCTGTTGCAATTTTCTCTCGGAGTCTGCGATGAGAATTACGTCATCTGCATATATCAGAAATGTCTTTACCACCTCATCCATAAAACTTGCCCTCTGTCTAACCCCATTTTCCATGAAGAACTTGCTAGAGGTCTTCTCGTTAAAGCTCTCCTCACTTAGTGGTCACCACTCAATCCACTTACTGGAACATAGACCTGATGATCTGTATCAGTTGTGAGCGAGTCCCTTTCTTCTCTAGTGCTATCCAAAGCCCTTCTCATGGCACCTTAATAAAGGCAGAGTGCATACACAAGAAAGCCAGATAAGTAGATTTCCCTCTGCTGATCAACTTATCAATTATACAGCGCAGGGAGAAAATGAGATTTTGACGTCCTGATCTGAAACCCGCCTGCTCCTCAACTAAGATTATTGAAGATCAAGGATATATTCCTGACCGAGAGTGGACTGCAGATGAAAGTGATCTCTTCTAGAATTGAAAGCTGAGAATATAGTATTGTAGAAAACTGTCGGTGGGATGCTGGCAAAACTCCTAGCATTTTGATGGTGATAGAGCTCTAAAGCCACATTCAATGAATGATATAGATACTAGTAAACTACCTATATATTTGACGGCAAATAAGATGAAATGAGCCACCACAGTCATCTTTACGAAAACATTAAAAAAACATAATAACTAAATAAGTTTTGACGCGAATTGCAGTTGTGGTCCTCTTACAGAGTTACATAAAAGCTTGATTAAGACAGACCATTGTGCGCTATTGACATTGAACAGTGTGTCACAATATAGCTCAGGATAGTAAGTATATGGACCATAATCCGAATTTCTGATTCCCTAAGTCTATATCCCTGAATCACAATTTAATCCATTATGTAGAATTAGAAAGTAAAAAAATGTTTGATACAGATTTTTTATAATAAGTTAAAGCTTTTTATTGAATAATGTGATAATTAATGTGATCTACTTACTGCCAACTTATGCTAACGGTAAAATAGTTTCTTATATATCTTGATAGAGGTATAGTCTCTTGCAAGAAGACCTTTACCTTCAAATCGCCGAGATCGCTTGCGGACGCTAGAATCCTCTAAATCTAATGATTTCGTGTTTACTTCAAATCCAGCGCCTTGCCCGCAAGCGACCTCGGCCATTTGAGGTGAAATCATTCCTTATATATCTTGGTAAAGATGCAAAGTCTTTTATAATAAGATGTTTACCCTCAAATCGCCGAGATCATTTGCGGACGTAGCACAAAAATCCTCCAAAGTTGATAATATTTTTTTTTATTCATTATAAATTTAAATTTCACGCAGAATTCCCAAAAACTAAACCCTGATTACCAAACTCACTAAATAAATCTTTCATAGTACCATAAACATCCCACGCGATAACCGATATCATAACTCATAACCGTAAACGTTATTATCTGACAGATGATGATTTTGCAAAACTTCATTATCTTGACGTCCAACACTCCATTTATTATCAAGGTACTAATTAATTTCTTTATAATAGCTTAACGAAACAATTAATCCCGCATCCATAATTAACATTCAAATTGGAGTCCCGGACTTGTTTATCACACACTGTCCCCATCTCAAAGTCCAACTGAATCCTTTGCCAAAAACTCCCGAATGCCATCACAAAGTATCACATTAAAAACGTCTTCAACTTACCTTTGGACTCGAGGTGTATTTTAAATTTGGCCGTAAAAAAATTTTTATCTTAAAGTCCGGTTTGAAGTTTTTTTGTTTACTGGCGACTGCGTGACTGGATGTTAGCTTGGACTTTGGTCGAATTATTTTAAAACAATTTAAATTGACGTCATCGCGAGCTTTGCTTTCATCTCCAGACGGTAAATTATTTATAGTGTCGGTTTGTGTGCAGTAGCAGTTAGATGATTATGTGATCCTAGAGGGGAATTGAAAAATTAAACATCATTGCGTGCAATGTCAATGTCGTCGACTGTAATTGTACGAACACTATAATGTATTTTTAAATCTTAGGAAACTAATTCTTTTTTGGAATTGAAATAGAAAAAGTTATAGCGGAGTTATAATTTAAAAAGTTTTTGCTCATTATAAAGTAGTTAAATTAATGACCAGTCTGTTAGGAAATAAAAAATCTGTAACTAAAATGGTTCTGGAGAATTTATATGAGAATATGATTACACGCCGTTGTTATAAAATACACCAGGGTTAAATTACAACAAGTCGAGTGTACTAGAACGTTAATTAACACATACATTTCCTCTCGAGTTATCTTTTCACGTCCGGAGCAAACATTTCAACGTAGTAATGATGTATGTTATGTGTGTACTTGTTAAATATAAACTCACGTCATTTCTTCCTGTGTTCTCTTTAATATTGACTATGTTTGTAGATTAAATATTATTTGTGCATTTAGAAATGTTTTAGTATAGAGAATAGTAATCCTAGATCCACTACTTTATCATTTATTGAAGTTTATTGTTTTCGAATTAATATAATAATTTATGAGCGCAATTAGAAATTTTATCATTTGTTTTCTTATATATTTAAAAACGAGGATAAATAATTGTTTCAATTCATTTTAAGATATGATTTCAAAACATTCATAGAAATGTTCTAAATGATTTAGCATAAATGAGTCAAAAAATTACTCAGAAAGAGAGAACAATGCCGTTGTAATGTGGATATTCCCTCTA